AAAACTTGTTGCATCATTCCCAAAAAGACTCATGGCTGTATTAGCTCAAAAGGGTGCTTCTACTAAATACTGAGCAAAGGGTCTGAATACTTATGACCATGTGATATTTCAGTTTTTCTTTTTTAGTAAATCTGCAAAAATGTCAAAAATTCTGTGTTTGTCTGTCAATGTGGGGTGCTGTGTGTACATTAATGAGGAAAAAAATGAACTTAAATGATTTTAGCATATGGCTGCAATATAACAAAGAGGGAAAAATTTAAGGGGGTCTGAATACTTTCCGTACCCACTGTATACAATACACAAGCAGCATCAGTAATGACTTTCGCAAAAGAGCAAGCGATATGTCTCAACAGCATTGTCTGTGCATCAGGCGAGAAGCTATAGTGGTGTCCATTAAATATCTGGGTGTTACTTTAGACTCAACCCTCTGCTTCAAAGAAAAGTTAAACAGGTTGTTGCATAAACAGAACTAAATTTAAGCAAATGTGGCTTTATTGGAAAATACCTGACATCTGAAGTTGTTTAGATATATTTTTATGCTATGATCATATCGCATATACTGTTTAACCACTTAGTCGGTCTCTCACTGCTGATACAGCTACAAAAGCTAAACAGCCTGTAAATAAACAAGCTCTTAGAGTCCTGGATAATAAACCTAGGAGATATCACCACTGTAATATACTTTCCAAATATGGTTTTCTTTGCTGTGAAAATAAATTTTTTCATAATGGTTGTCTAATATACAAACTTTGGCTGGATTAACACCTCCCCCATATAATCATTTGGATATCAGAAAGAAGTTGTGGACAAGTTAACTAGATCCAGAATAAGAGAGGATATAAGGTCACATGACCCGTCCACATACAGTATTCGCTCCAAATAAAGCCCCTTACAATAAGACATACACAGCCGTTCAGAAGTTTGGGGTCACCTCTATTCTTCCATTTGTTACTGGCGCCATTCAACAGCCAAACACACTTGTGGCATTCTTTTCTCAACTGAAATCCAGTATTACTGAGACAGGTAGCACTGTTGCAGAAGTTCCCACAGATGTGTTGCACTTATAGGCTGCTCTGCTTTCACTCTTCATCTGGAAAGTCTGGACACTGTGCTTCTATCCCATCATCTGAAGTTTACAATCGGCTTCTTTTCTTCTGCACAGCCTGGAGGTGTTTTCTGGGTCATTAGCCTGTTGTAGGATGGAACTCTGAAAAAGTCTTCCTTTGTTAAGTGCCTTCTTCCAAATAATGTTTCAGAGGGTGTAGTGACAAAGGCTTTTCCAGCACTGCCTCATTTGTTGTTGTAAGTACTCACCAGATTTTGGGACACCTGCAGGAATTGATTGCATTGGTTTTCAAGGCTTAATGTACTTCATCTACTGCAGAAATTATAAGTTAACCTATTGCTTGATCCCTGAAAAAGACCCGTTTTACATAAAAATTACATATATTTTATGTTTTGCTTAAATGTCAAAATAAAAACTGGAAAAATGGAGGTGACCCCAAACTTTTGAACAGTCGTGTATCTCTGAAGTGTCTTAGATAAACACATGCATGAGTTGACATATTTCTTTATTAATAACATGTGATCTCTAATCATCTCATGATAAAAGATCACTTTCTTTCAGATGGAAGAGATAAATTAGTTTCCCCTTCCACATGTGTTTGACTGGACAGACTTCTGTCACATTATTAAACCAGTCTGCTGTTGCTCAACTCCTTGACCCTGTTTGAACGCTCTGCAGTCCTCTACAAAGATCCCAACTTTTAAAGAGATCACCGTGAAAATGATCATGATTTCAAATGTGTAATTCAACGCTTGTGTGTCTCAGTCAACTGGTTTCCAGACTTTGGATCTCTGTGTTCTGACACAGGACCACTGACAAACCTAGAAGCTAAACTGAAATAGGCTGTGATAGCAAATCTCAGTGGTATGATGTTCCCTATCATTTTACTACTTATCTGCCCCTTTTTCTTTTCGTCTGTGGTCTCCTTTTCTTAGTGTAGAGTTAAGAGTAGTTGCTCAGTCTTTTCTCATTTCCAGTTCCACATGCTTACTTGCATACAGGTGGCTGCATATTCGCTTCCTGTCAGTGTGTAGCCACGTGTATTGTGTGTGGTAGTAGATTCTGTACCTTGACAGAACATGCTCCACAGCTGTAGTGGTGTTTGCACCTACTGATCATTTTCATTATGTTAGGGTTGCTCACAGAAGTGAGTAGATAAACAGGACTCAGGAGTCGGCACTCTCGGTTCAAGGCAAGGATTTATTAAATTCGCAGCTGGTGAGCAGGATAGTTCGGACTCTCAGAGCTGGTGAGAAGCAGTGAGTGGGGAACTGTCTGTTCACAGGAGGCGTAGAGCAGTCAGTGAGTAACAGCGATGAGAGGAGGAGGATGTGGCAGGTTGAAGTCCCAGGTCTGAACAGCAGGATAGGTAAGAGCGGCGTGGTGTAGCATGGAAGAGGTGGTCTGAGGCAGCAGGTTCTGATAACAGGGAGGACAGGACAGAGTGAGTGAAGCCGAGGGATGGCAGTCTGACTGACCTGAGAGTAGAGGAGCAGTATGCCGGTCCTGGGAGACAAGGAGGGTGCAAACAGGTGACATAGAGGAGACTCAGAGACAGGTGGTCAGAGATCTTTGTAGAAGCAGCTTAGGTTTCGGTAATCGGAGCCAAAGTGTTGTGGCAGAAGTCTGCAACGAACTGGCACTGTGGAAGCCTCTGCCCAGCCCTTAAGTAAGCTGTGGCTGATGGGAAAATGATCGCAGCTGTGGAATTAAGTACAGGGGTGTGCCCCGCCTGAGACAGATTACCTGTGAAAAGGGGAGAGAGAGAGAGAAGGAGCGGAGCAAACCTGACACATTATGAATTAATCTGTCAGTATTTTTATTAAGCATTCATTCTATACTAAAAGATGATGATGAAGTCTTTCAGTTGCCTGTTTTGTCTAACAAACAGTCCAAAACAGATTATTTTGCTTTTAACAGGAACACTGCTGCTTTGGCTGAAAGATTTTCCTCAAGAAAATCATGTACTAGCCTTTTAGTACAAAGTACCTTAATGCGACGTTCCACATAAAACAGTACTTCTGCTGGATATGTGGCTATACCAGAAGATCTCCTTGTTAATGTTAATTGGTTACAATAAGAGCAGTCCCCAGGCTGGAGGGTGGCCGCGGTGCTGTCTTGTCCATCACCATTAAAACCTGAAGATGAAATAGAAAAGAAGGCGTATTAAAAACTTTCCCCCCCTAATTGAACTGGGAGACAACCTGGTTCAGCCCCAGCAATATGGGGGCATCTTTTGCTTTCGTTATTGTGCGGTTGTTTCTTCCGGTCATGAACTGAAAAAGGCTGAGGTCTACTATTTTGTGCAGTACCTCTACCATATACGCACACAGTTTTGCCTTCTATTGTATCCTCAGGTTTCATTATTTCTTTCTTTTCTTTCTCGTTCTCTTGTCTTTCAGCTACTGTAGCTAGCTAGGCCATTACAGTTCAGAGTGCCAATCCAAATACACACCACCTCATATTCCGAATAATATTTCATATTCCTGAAGGTACTGCAACATGTTATTTAATAGGGTGACCTATAAGCCTGAAAGATGAGCAGTAATACTGGTGATTATTGGTCAGTCAGTCAGTGTGGGTTGCTGTTGGACAGCCAGTCTAAAAACATAGTGACCAGAGTGCGGTATCTTTAAATACTAGGTTATGTTGATTGTTTTATTCGTCTCTCCCCATAACCCACAGCCTCCCACGTGTTAAACACTACACACACAATGGCTGAAGGTCAGTGCTGTAAGAGCACAAGCTCAGAGTAGGCTGAGACTCATTTATCAATATCAGCCTTCTTCCAAAGCCACAGTTCACCCCCAGTGTTTGGCGCCAGGCCTGTGGGACTTCAGCAGTTTTTGCTGTTTAATTCATTCCACCTCCCAACACACTGCTACTCAGATGACTCATATAATCTTGCATTTTGCCCTCATGTTACTGAGAGCTGATCGTCTTGTATTTAGTTGTGCTCATATAACGTCTGTGGGGACATCAGGTAAAATGTGTGGTCAAAGAACATACTGTACCTACCTCAGCTCAGGACTAATGTTACTTCTGCAAATGTGCCTCCTCCAACCCTTGATGTAGCGTATGGTCTGCTTCCTTTTCCCTCTTTCTTTCCCCCACCTCCTCATCTCTCTCTTGTCCTTGGACTTCCTCTCTCTGTCCCTTATTCTCTATTTTTGCATTTCTTTGGTGCATCCACTGATGGTGGCGGCTCTGTAAATCAAACAACCTTGATGTTATTGTCTTTGGTCATCTAACAATTTTTGATGTTTTTTCTTATTTTGATTGCAAACAATATGAAGGTGACAGGAAATGGGAGGCAGAGCCTTTAGCTGTCAAGCTCCTCTCCTATGGAACCAACTCCCAGTCTCAGTTCGGGAGGCGGACACCCTCTCTGCCTTTAAGATTAGACTTAAGACGTTCCTTTTTGATAGAGCTAGTTGGGGCTGGCTCGGTGACCAGCTTTCCCTTAGTTATTCTGCTGTAGGCCTAGACTCCTGGCGGGCCCCCATGATTCTCTGAGCACCTCTCCTCTCCTTTTTGTATCCATTTATATGCCACCATTGCATGTCACTAATTTTGTGTCTCCTCTCTCCTGCAGTGTGTCCTCTCTCTTCCAGTACCTTTCTGCAGGTAGCCCTGGCTCCCTGTAGAGCAGCTGTACGTGGCATTTTACTTGCTGAACCTGGGTTACAGGCAGAAGGCCGCCCACCAAGAGCCGGGGTCTGTCGGAGGTTTCTTCCTTTAAAGGGAGTTTTTCCTCCCCGCTGTTGCCAAGTGCTGCTCAAGGGGGATTTGTTGGGTTTTTGTCTATAATACTGTAAGGTCCAGACCTTACACTGTAAAGTGCCTTGAGATGATTTTTGTTGTGTACAAATAAAACTGAATTGAATTGAAATTAAGGGAAATGTGCAACAAAGAACTTGATCCAGGGATGCTGGCATGGCCGCTCGGTCATCAAGACACCCTTGTGCCCCATTTGCTGACTTCATCTCATCTTCTATTTCTCAGGTACCTCCCATGACTGGCGACTGCGCTGCGATGCTGTGAACCTCTACTACACATTGTTCGGTCTGACTCGGCCTTCTTGCCTGCCACTGCCTGAACTGGGCCTGGTGCTCAACCTGAAAGAGAAGAAAGCTGTGCTCAACCCCACCATTAAACCTGAGATGGGGCTTGGTGCTGTTATGGACACACCAGCTAGTATAGGCATCCATGGTGTCGGCATGAGCTACGCAACTGTAAGTGATGTGGGATCATTTAATTGTCAGGACAGTTTTGTGTTAATAGAAAATGCAATATTTGTAGTGTCAGCAAACTGACCCATTAAAGACACAGTTTCATTGTTTCTCTGCTAGTGGCGATGATGATGTGCAAGCTGCTTGGTGGTCTTTGTCCTTCTTTGATTTAGTAATGCTACATTATAATGGCTACATATGTCATAATGCCTGTGTTGTCTTAAGTTGGATTTGTAATATGGAAATATGGGCACAACAGTGGGCAGCACGGTGGTGTGGTGGTTAGCGCTGTTGCCTCATAGCGAGAAGGGGCCTTTCTGTGCGAAGTTTGCATGTTCTCCCCGTGCTTGTGTGGGTTCTCTCCGGGTACTCCGGCTTCCTCCCACAGTCCACAGACATGCAGCTTAGGTTGATTGGTGACTCTAAATTGCCCATAGGTTGTATGTGTGAGTGGTTGTTCGTTTGTGTGTTAGCCCTGCGGTGGACTGATGGCGGGCTGCACCCCGCCTCTCGCCCGCAGCTGGCTGGGATTGGCTCCAGCCCCCCGTGACCCCGTTTGGGACTAAGCGGTTTAGAAAATTGATGGATGGATGGATGGGCACAACAGTGCAGTGCAGTCAACACTATATGGCCGTACCTCATTCTCATTCGTACTCAGACTCACCGTAATAGGCACGACTCTGGCTATGACTCCATCTCTGTGACAGCTCTGAGATGGCCCAGGTTAACTACAGTGCAGACTGAAATGACTGCTAAGGAGACTCAGGAAGCTGCTGACACGATCTCAAAAACACTGAGTAAAATTCTTGCATGGACTCGTGTCAAGTCCTCCATTAGTTCTGCTCACTTGAACGTGCTGCAAACTCAGTTTATTATATAAGTTCGATTGCCGCATTGGAAAATAGGTGAGCCATACTACATATTCAAATTTAATTGTTTGTGTGTGACAGGTAGATGAAGAGCCAGATCCCATTTCATTAGGGGTGTGTGGGGTGGGCCAGCCCCTTCAGGGCCTGAAGAGGAAGGCTGAGACCCCACTTGGCTCCCCTCCAGAACCAGGACAGGTACTGCAGCAGCAGGATGATGATGGAAGAGCAGGGCGCTACAAGATCAGGGTAACAGACTTTTGATTTCTCTTTATTTTAACTCTGCTCTGTCCCCTCAGCTCTGCCTGGCTCATCTCAAGTCTTTTGTGCTCTGTTTTGTTCAAGCAAATTTTTTATGAGCATCTGCAGTGTTCTGTTAAAGTCTGTGCTGTCCTTAAAGGCTCAAAGAAATGACGGTGCAGACCTGTCAGTCTGTACACATTTTGCATAGTCATTTAAGTTATAAAAGTCAGTTACATCACCTGTGTGTTGGAGACTTTTCCTAATACTCATGATATTAATTATTGTACCCATAATCATAATGAGCATCCTGTCGCCGCTGGCTGAAAAAAATGCAAGAGCACGCACTGTAGAAATTCCTAGTAAATTACCGGTGGAGATGGATGTGCCTCCACATCTCCATACTTCTCCACCTGTATTCTGCACTGTCTACAAAAATGACACTGATGTCAGTAATCAGGGATCTGCAGGTTAATAACTGAACATCAAACGATGTGAATTTTCAAAACAATGTTTTTGTATTGACTGTTGTTGTGATTTAAAGGTTAAAATTACAAGCAAAATGGCATGTCTGGCAATGCTTTGTCATACTTGCCTTTATTAAAAATCTACAGATTTGTTTCGGGTGATTTTTCATGTGGTAATAATATGTAAGTGTGGTCTGTTCTAGTTTAACACAATGGAAGATGAAGACATTGACATGGAGACTGTTCATGATAGTCAGGCCTTCATTCACCATCATCTCAATCTGTTAGAGAGACCCTCTACACCTGGTAAGCGCACACACACACGCAACAGTTTCTTTCTATGAGTGTTGTGAGGACACTCACTGACAATGTTTTCCCCAGCCCCTTACTGTGGCCTTAACAATTTTAATCAAATACATAACCTACACCTGTATTTAACCTGACCCCTAAAACCAGGTCTTCACCATCCAACAGCTCGTTGGAGGTGTGTGAGAGAGTGAGGGCCAAAATGTCCTCACACTGTTGGCACTGAATAAAAATGTCTACACAATGACATAAAGACCTGTACACAGACACTATTTCACACATTATATTTAAAAAAAAAACCAAATGAACTTTTTTCCTTTCAGGTAAAGAGCCCCCATTAGCTGAACAGTCCATGCTCTCCATGCCTGCCACGCCAGTGCCGTCCTTCTCTAAAGAGACCACCTCTTTGTTCTCCAAACACAGTGGCGAGCATGGCCACCACCATCACCACCACCACCACGAGCACAAGAAGAAGAAGAAAAAGCACAAGCATAAGCACAAGCACAAGCATAAACATGAAAGCAAGGACAAGGAGAAGGACAGAGAGAGGGACACATCGCATGCCTACAGCAACAGCCCATTCTTCCCCATCTCTGTCTGACTAAACATTTGGAGAGAAGTTTGGTTTCCATCTGCCTGTGGTTACGTCAGGGTTAATTGGCAGACTTGGATCCCTGTGAGTACAGACACAAATTGGAAAAGAAGCGCATTTAGTTTAGCCAAATGTTCCTGACTAGTGTTACACAGGAAGTATGCTGTTCAAGTGTTATAACCCTCAGATAAGTGGTAACACCCAATTCCTCAGCGGATACAGCAGAGCATGTTGACTCTCAGGAGGAAACATGGAATTCTGGACTGAGGCTGCAGTGTCATTAAGGTAAACCCTCCCGAGGTGTCCCTGTGCCCTCACACCACACACACGGCCTCAGGTGTTTGTGGACTTTCAACATGCCACCACATACACCCCTCTCCACAAACAGTCCAACGCAGTCTCACCCGACCTCATATACTTTTCTCTACACATGCACCACTCTGGTGCCGCTCCTCCTCACAGTTCGGTCCTGCCATTCAGTGAGTGGCTTCTGAGGGGGAACATGATTGACTGTGGTGTGAATCTACCATTCTGTCTGGAACATCCTGCAAATGACACTTCACCATTTGCTCACAGATGAACATTTTACAGGAATTTTTATTGTACTGTACAACTGAAACTCAAGTAATATTGATGTGCTTTTTTAAAATTTACTTTTCATTCCCCAACGGTCATCACTGATTAAAGAGGCTTTTGTATTCCTGAATGTTTTGACTACATTGAGTTCAGCTCCACAAGTCATTTGTGGCTGGGTTTACTCTGGCACTGTTTTCTTATGGTTGATTAAGTGACTTTAAACAAAGAAAAGAACATGTAGCATTCAAAAATCCTTTAGACAACCAGAGAAGTTTCAAAATGTGATCTAAATATTTCAAATAGTTTTTTATGTAACCAGCCTTCTAATTCCATCTTGTTTTGCCTAATAAAACATATAAGACAAAGTCTTAAAGATTCTTGCCACTGGTTAGGTTGTCCCTGTCAGCATTTGTTCCCCTGTTGGAATTACAAGCTGTTAACAGTATAAAATACAAGGTCCATCCGTTTGTTCCTCTTGTTAAGCACAATAATCTACTGAAAGCAGTGAGACAAACATGTTACATCGAAATCAAAACAGACATGTAGAGGAAACAGAGAAAGAACAGTTTAAAGTAGAACCCAGCTTTATGAGATGGAACTAAGGATACAGCTTACCTTTTAGGGTGTGTTCATTTGTTTTTAAAATTATATCTTTTGTTTGTGCAGAAGGTCAAATGCACAACAGGTTGCTGCAGTTCCCAGTTGTGCCTTCTACAGCACAAAGATGGCATCATTGGCCAAGACAGCCAAGTGCTCCAGCCAGGATGGGAACCCGGTGCCTCCTGATGGACTGTTCACAGTATACACCACAGGAGTGAGACGGCTTAACCACTACACGCCTAGCCATAATCACACCCTCAGCAATGCCAGTGACAGCCATGGCAGCAGCCGGTCACAGCCGGATTTTGCGGTTATTAACTGCAAAGATGGACTTGTGGTTGAGTTTACTAGTGTCCACGATAGAATTTCAAACACCATTTTGCCAGAACAAATGTTATTTTATTAACCACTGATTTAACTGTAATGTAAATGTAACAATACATAAAATATAACTTAAAATTTCTAAAGCAAACACAGCATCAGTTTTTGCATGAACATTTGGAAAATCTAAATGAGAGCTGTTTAGATTTCCAGTTCATGTGAACTGAAGTCTGGGAAGAGACCAGAGTGCCTGGAGAAAGCCTGCGTGAGCAGGGAGAGGATGTGAATCATACCTGCAAACAGGCTGTGGTTGGATGTGATGTGACCCCTCGCACCACCCTCCCTCACTCACCTACTCAAACAAATGGCTTATCTAGAGCTGAAGATTCTTGTGAATCTTCTTCGTGAAAGCTTCTTACACTTTGTCCTGACTGTTTTCGTCACCATCCTCCTCGCTGCTGGTTTGAGGGACATCGTCATCTGTTTATTTATGTGTACTCGTCTTCAAGGTTTGGCAGTGTCCAGGGGGCACCTCTCATACCTCTGGTGTGGGTTGACCTTTGACCCTCAGACGATGGCCCTTGTATGTGGACTGACCGTGAAAGGCACAAAAAGCTCATGTAGAGCTTGGGTGACTTTTCCACTTTGGGTCAAAGCCCATTTCTCCATCTCCTCCACCACCAACATTATCAGAGGCAGTCAGTCAGTCAGTCAGTCAGTCAGTCATTTTTTCTCTCAAGTTCTGGCCAACGACCACCTCCTTTTCTTCCCATGTTTTTCCTTGGGTTCTTAATATACCTAATAATAGACTGGACAATCTCAATAAGCTTAACTGGCTTCTCCCTTTTACATTATGGGTGAGAGACCAGTGTGGCAGTGGGGAAGCACATGTGGAAACATTTCATGTGTGGCTGTAATGTGTTCATTTGTGTAAACTGTGTTACCTAAGTGACTCTATATCCTGGATTATATCCCGGAGTCCTTTGACTTTACAAACACACGTCCACAAGGCTTGGCCCCCTGTTGTCAGTGTTGGATTGCAAAACTCGGGACTAGCTTCTGGGAAAAGTGGTGTCTATGTCCCCGTAGATGTGTGTTCCCCTTCACCTTAATGTGAACCTAAAATTCACTCCTAATCAGTCATGTCTTCTGATGTTCAGTCTGTTTCCAACTGTACTATAACCAAAACCAGTTACCTCAGTCTACTCCTTAGTCCTGGAATCTAAAGGTTATCGATCCCCCCCATGTTTGACCAAGTCTGATACAGATTATATTTGTTCAAAAAAGAGACTGTGCTAACAGCAAGGGTACAACAAACAAAATTAAAAGGGGCTTTGCACTCTGAAAGATGCCTCAACATTAAGTTTTATTTTTTAGCTTAAAAACACGCGGCTGATAAAGAACTGCCCTTTTTTGTAACCATAGTTGTAAATGCCTGACATGCCAGACTGGAGTAAAGATAACTGCATGTTGTACGTATTTAAAAAAACGCTAAAATGCAAAGTAATGTGAGGGTTTTTTTCCTTCCCACAATATCTTAATCCTGGCTAATATAGGAGCCTCCTCTAACGTAGCTCCAATAAGAATCCGGTCCGCTCCTTGAGTTGCCCTCCCTCTCCCCGCTTCTAACGGTCCTCTTCCTCGGTGGTCTTTGTTTGTGCAGTCAGCATTACTCACCCTCCGACCGACAGCACAGGACTATACTCTGACGGAGAATCATGTTGCTGCAGACACTGGTACGGTAACATGTCTACACGTTTTAGTTCCAGGTCCCTTCTTACTATAGACTTCGCTGTGCCTAAATCTGCGCGTAATGACGCTTTTAATCGCATATTTTCGCTGCGTTAATTGTGGTCAAAAAGAAAATTTCCCGTTGTTTTTCCTTGGCTCTCCCTCCTGCTCAGCGTTTGCAGAACGATTGTATATTCTTCTGTTTTTTCCCTGTGGTTGTTCAAAAGGCGATTGCTGAGCGGAAGCGGGTGGTCTCTTCATCTTGAACTAATCCCTGCACCAGATTTGACAGGTCGTCGACAAAGAACAGCAATATGAGTCTGTGTTTTGTTTGCAATAATCGCAGCATAGGTTAAGACAACGGAAATAGAAAAGATGTATGAATACCTGCATAATATACTCAGGAAAAGCAGACAGCCATAGGAGTCATGAAAATGTGTTGGAAGTGTCCTGGGTGTCAGTTACAGTATTTCTGTTCCCACTGTGTTGACTCTGAGGCAACTAGTCACCTGAACTTTGATAAACTTCTGCAGCAGTTACACAAATGGCATGTCTGATGACAGATGTATTGTCTCAGTTTGTTTGGATCCTCTCAGTCCTGTGTGCCACAGATGTGTGTTTGGCATCCGCCTATGGTCGGCCCAAACGTTCGGAAGTGAACGGATCTTCGGCCAGGACAGAGTGTAAGTACACTGCTCTTGTTACTAGAAAACGGAGAGAACAGCTTGACCAGGTTGTTAGAATTCAAACTGAGATGGCCTTGAAAATGTCATCAAAATCCTCCCAGCTTCAGGGTGGCTATGTTGTTGCTGTTCTCAAGTGCATATCAATATATGTACTTGATATTCACATGAGTTCAGCCAAGGAATCAATAATTACCAATTCCAATTAATGCATCATCAGTGTTAAATCAGTATTATTACCTGATAACAAAGGTTTAATTTAGCTCCCAACACATCACATTTTAAATTATTTGCAAGAATCTTCCATTTTTTGAATCATAGCCTTGAATTGAAATTGAATTTCAAATGTCAAGACTGTAGGTGTCCAAACATTCTACAAGTGGCTATAAATTATAGAGTTATAGCATAAAATAATGAATAATAGGTGTGAAAATGTGTGACCTAAAGTTCTGATCAATTACAGAACAACACACATCAGATTTCATACTCGGTTTCTTTATTACTTTTATAATTTCAGTGATTTGTGTAACTTAATACCAACCAGCACGGCATTCATTCACTCTTGGTAGTTTTATCACTTTTTCACTGAGTTAGGCATTGCAAAAACAACTTTTTTGTTTTCTATTGATAGGATATGATTTCTCGAAAAAGAACACGTCCTTCTGTCTAGGTATTAATAAAGTATAAAAGTATGTGGTTTGTGTCCTTGTAATACAAAGAAATATGTACTTGCAAGTTGTTCAACAAACAGCACTTTTTCCTGTTTCCAACCCCGTTAATGACCCTATGACCCCTAATATTCATTTTCTGGCTCTTTTTGGGCCCTTTATTACACGTAGGTAGTGACAAATAGTTCACCAGAGTCCAAGGTGACTTCTAATGCGTGTCATTTTTGCTGGAAAAATAGAAGCAAGACAAGATGATAGTGATTGATCTCTTATCATATTGGTGTAGATTCATTTTTTGACAACTGACAAAATGATAAATCTACATTACAGAATATATAACATGATGAAATGTAGATATTTAATATTTTGTAGTTAAAAAAAAAAAATAATTTAAATACAGTGTCGCAGCCAGGGGTGGATCTTGAACGGGGTTGGCAGGCTGGGGCACAAACTCAGAGAGGGGGTGGCACATTTGAATACACACCACAAAAACCCAGTCAGAGAAATGCATATAAATATCATGCTGCATGCATGATACAAAATAAAACTCATTTGCACAATATCAATTATAAAGCACCAGAAAAATATGAGTTGTATTTATTTAAGGCAACATTGTGTCATTGTTGTTCATTGTTAATACTGACAAGCATCACAGTTTGACTGTAGCAGGGGTGGCACCAGGGGCGGCCAATCAGATCCCCAAACCACTCGGCTCTGCCCGTGGTCTCTGCATGACAGTGCTACAGCTGTATCACACTCTTTGTTTTCCAGTTTCATGTATAACAGTAGACCATTTTTTAGTAAAACTATGTAATAATAAAGATTTACTAATTACTTCATAAAGCATTGAATTTATTATTAACAAATAATGGAAATAATTGTTAGTTGCAACTGTACATGACCACTGTACTGGTATTGTATGGTTGTCTATAATTCAAATGTGTTTTTAGGAGCATTACATTCATAAGGCCTTTCACAAGTGTGTTTGCCACACAGTGGCTACACACATGTTCAGTGAAGCAAACCGTACAGGAAAAAAAAATCACACACTTCAATTTCGTTGTTATAGTGGCCCAGCACAGGCAGTGTGAAGTATATTTTGGACACACATTAATGTATCTTGGCCAGGTGCAGGTACAACATGCCTAAAACTATGCACCAAGTCCAAGACACACAAGGGGAAAAAAAACTTTAGAGTTTAGAGTTTTTTATTACAGCAAAGTAAACCTTGAACCCTATATGAGCTTCAAGTCAGCAGTCAGTCTAAGATCACTCTCCTACACATGAACAATATGTCAGAACTAAGTTTCCACACCCAGCAGCTGCAGCTGCTGAGCACTTTCTCTAGCTCTGTTTATTTACTGCGTTATTTTCTGGGTGAAATGTCTGCCAGTGCATATGAAATGAGTGAGCAGAGAGTATGCTGTGCTGGTGATTGTGGAAGGGGGTGGAAAACAGATCACTGTGACCCTGTGAGGTCGAGATTGGGCAGCCCAGTTTTTTTGTTTGTTTGTTTGTTTGTTTTGGAAGAGACAGATTGTGTTTGCATTGCTCTACCTTGAGTCAATATTAAGAGAGCGCTGGGGTTCGTTTTCTGCTCCATGGTCTCGGTACAAGAAGGAAGAGGTTTGCTTTACCTTGCTGTTGACTTTCACAGCAGCAGGCAGTATATTTTGCTACAGTTTTGCATAAGAAGAACACTAAGTGTGTGAATTTGTGAAAAATGTGACCTTGTCTTGCCTGTTGACACCTCATCTTTTCTTTTGTATCAGCTCTTGTGACAGACACAGACAATAAGCAGGTTACACAACTCATCTCCAGCATACCATGCTTTATTCACCAGCTTGTATTTGTTTTTTTAGCTATCTGGCCTTCATCAGGGTGGTACGGTCTCTTAAGTTGTTGATGGTTTCCTTATAGTCCCTTAAACAGTCATGAGACTGAAAAATCCATATCATAAATCCAAAACCACATTACATACATTGTTTCAAACCAGTTTTAACAAAATATAATAATTACTCCAAAAGCAAGTTAAACGACAGTAAAAACCGTTTTTAAACCAAATCTAATACTCCCTCCCAATCTCCTTCCTTTCTCGGTGGAGAACATAGTCTTTCACAGAAGACATCTTGTCATGTTACAGTGAGGAAAGCATAGGTGCCAATATTAAAAAGAAGGTGGCTGAATTCCATTTAGCTGCTTGAGTTCCAGGGTCATGGTATTGTTCATCCTGGCTCACTGTCATGGCTTACTGGGGCACTTGAACAGAACTGAGCCATTGTTAATGTTATTAGCAATAACCTGTGCCTTTGCTCCTGTGACAAGTCGAAATGCCTGTTAACAGAAAGGCCTACTTAGCACAGACGTTCATTTTTAACTTTGGAAACAATCATCTGACCAACAAGCAAACAAAACAAAAACAAACTCCACTTATTAGCTTTGTTCACAGGCCACACCTCTTATTTCATGTTCTATCTTAACTTGACATCTGTTTTTTGCACTGTGAAGGTTGTGTAGAGTATTGCCTGCCACTCCAGTGAAGCTGTGATGTGCTACTATGCCTTGACACGTGGTGTACACTGCTCTGCCAACTAGCTGAGTAGCAGTAAAAACAGTAAAGTGTTAGTCTAATTTAAGGTGTCTCTATATTTTTGTCCTCCTCAGCTACAGTACATACATGAGAGGGTCAGAATATTAGGAACACCTCTGAATATAATGTAGTTTAGTACAACACCACCTTTAACTATGGCCTCAATAATAAACATAGAATTGAACTTAAACATTTATGACAATTTCATCAAAAACTGAAACATTTTGAGCTTCATAAACACTGAAGTGTATACAACTGTACAGGTGTACCTAATAAAGTGGGTGCTGAGTGTATTTCCCATGACATCCTCCACTAGCTCTATGACCCACGAGCTAACAACAAGTGTTTTCAGTGTTGCCAGCTCCTGAAAACAAGTCATCAGACAAAGACTGCAGAATTATTGTGTTGTAGAGCAAATACAGTGCCTTGCGAAAGTATTCGGCCCCCTTGAACTTTGCGACCTTTTGCCACATTTCAGGCTTCAAACATAAAGATATAAAACTGTAATTTTTTGTGAAGAATCAACAACAAGTGGGACACAATCATGAAGTGGAAGAGGATCTCTGAATGATCCAATGTTGACCTAAATGACTAATGATGATAAATAGAATCCACCTGTGTGTAATCAAGTCTCCGTATAAATGCACCTGCACTGTGATAGTCTCAGAGGTCCGTTTAAAGCGCAGAGAGCATCATGAAGAACAAGGAACACACCAGGCAGGTCCGAGATACTGTTGTGGAGAAGTTTAAAGCCGGATTTGGATACAAAAAGATTTCCCAAGCTTTAAACATCCCAAGGAGCACTGTGCAAGCGATAATATTGAAATGGAAGGAGTATCAGACCACTGCAAATCTACCAAGACCTGGCCGTCCCTCTAAACTTTCAGCTCATCCAAGGAGAAGACTGATCAGAGATGCAGGCAAGAGGCCCATGATCACTCTGGATGAACTGCAGAGATCTACAGCTGAGGTGGGAGACTCTGTCCATAGGACAACAGTCAGTCGTATACTGCACAAATCTGGCCTTTATGGAAGAGTGGCAAGAAGAAAGCCATTTCTTAAAGATATCCATAAAAAGTGTCGTTTAAAGTTTGCCACAAGCCACCTGGGAGACACACCAAACATGTGGAAGAAGGTGCTCTGGTCAGATGAAACCAAAATCGAACTTTTTGGCAACAATGCAAAACGTTATGTTTGGTGTAAAAGCAACACAGCTCATCACCCTGAACACACCATCCCCACTGTCAAACATGGTGGTGGCAGCATCATGGTTTGGGCCTGCTTTTCTTCAGCAGGGACAGGGAAGATGGTTAGAATTGATGGGAAGATGGATGGAGCCAAATACAGGACTATTCTGGAAGGAAACCTGATGGAGTCTGCAAAAGACCTGAGACTGGGACGGAGATTTGTCTTCCAACAAGACAATGATTCAAAACATAAAGCAAAATCTACAATGGAATGGTTCACAACTAAACATATCCAGGTGTTAGAATGGTCAAGTCAAAGTCCAGACCTGAATCCAATCGAGAATCTGTGGGAAGAACTGAAAACTGCTGTTCACAAACGCTCTCCATCCAATCTCACTGAGCTCGAGCTGTTTTGCAAGGCGGAATGGGCAAAAATTTCAGTCTCTTGATGTGCAAAACTGTTAGAGACATACCCCAAGCGACTTACAGCTGTAATCGCAGCAAAAGGTGGCGCTACAAAGTATTAACTTAAGGGGGCTGAATAATTTTGCACGCCCAATTTTTCAGTTTTTTATTTGTTAGAAAAGTTTGAAATATCCAATAAATTTCGTTCCACTTCATGATTGTGTCCCACTTGTTGTTGATTCTTCACAAAAAATTACAGTTTTATATCTTTATGTTTGAAGCCTGAAATGTGGCAAAAGGTCGTAAAGTTCAAGGGGGCCGAATACTTTCGCAAGGCACTGTATCAAGTCAATATTCAAATCCAGATTTCACCAAAAACAGTTTGTAACATTCTGTATATGAATTTGTGTTAAAGCCATGGTTCATAAGCCCTTCATGAGTTCCCCAAGCTCTAGGCTACAGGACACACTATCCTTGTGACATGTTAAAAAAAAAGTTAGAAATGTAGCATCTTTGTACTCTAAACCAGACAGGACACCATGCAGGACAACCATACCAAATTAAACTCAGTATAATATAAGACAAGGTAGAAGTTGTGGAACAGCCACAAACTGTTTACAAGCGGTTGTGAGTGCCAACTGTTATATTAGACTACAGACAGTTAAAATCAATCTGTTTGCAGTCACTTCCATACCATTAAACACTAGAAGAGTTGTTGATTTGGGAGTGGGTGCTCTGCTCCAGCAGTTAACTGACACTGAGAATCATTTCTGTATACTGATATTTAAAGTTCTCAGATGTGTTTCAGCAGTGGCTGAGCATGCCAGCATGCAGAGCTGTTCAGTGCAGCTTTAATCTGATATAATAAAGAGAACTAATTGAGTCTCTTTTTCTTCCATCCTCAGCTCGCTCTGTGTCTCAGTACGTTCCAACCTCTGGCTCCTGCAGGAACAGGTGTTTTGAGCTAGCTGAGCTGGAACCACCAAACTGTCGCTGCGACAACCTGTGTAAGACTTACAACAGCTGCTGCTCTGACTTTGACCACCTCTGCCTAAGGACAGGTACGTAATCATTCTCCTCACTTGTCATCCACTTTGTCTTTTCTTCCTATGTGGCGTTTAAAGAAAAAGCAGGTGAAACTAACGGACTTTAGACACAGACTGTTGTTTTGGTTTTGATATGCGTTTTTATTTTGAGCGGTAAATAAATATCTACACAATGACTTTAGAGGTTTTCCAAAAGTAGAGAAAAACAGGAACAGGCATTTTGCTGGGATTTAAGAAAACAAAAAGGCCTCCCAGATTACTGATGGTGGTTTAAATGAGAGGAGAGGGACTCAGGGTTGCTGTGGTACAGCTTCAGTCAAGATGCCAAATAAAACGGTTGCAGATTTTTTTGTTATTAAGCTGGAGGAAATTCTCAGACATCTGGCGTTTAATACCAATCAGGCGGCCAAGAATTCATATCCAACAAAAGGAGAACTTGGCTGTCTACTGAAAATGTCATGATTATCTGTGACACTTGTGTTTTATTTGCACGTGTGTGTATGTGAGTGAGTGGGAGAGAGGGAGACAGAGAAGATGGGTTTCGACTGGTTTATAGTATTATTCCACCTTTGCACAAACTTGTTGTCAACAGATTATGTTACACGTAATACATAAATGAGACTTAGAATAACTCTCTAAATATTTAAAGGGAAGCAGGAAAACCCGCACTAAGTTCTCCACTACTGATAACGTTCTCCCAGTAGTGGCATGTAACCGAGTACATCTACTCAACTACTTTGCTTCAGTAGAGTTTTGAGGTATGGTTGTGCTTCAGTATATCTAATTTATACTTCCACTCCACTGCACTTCAAATGGAAATATTGTACTTTTTACTCCACTGCATTTATTTGGCAGCTATACTGTAAGATTTTTATACAAAAAATACAGTATGCAGTGTCCAGTGACATAATAGCAACAGCCAGAGGCCATTTTCTGATTTGAGTACTTCTAATGTTTCAAATTAATTTAGTTAAGTTACTTAGATACTTTCAATTAACATTTTAAATGCAGGACTTTTACTTGTAAGAGAGTTTTTATACAACATGGTATTGCTACTTTTATTTAATAAAATTTAAATACACCCATTCACCAGTGTTGTTTCAGTGTTTCTCTTATCAAAACTGTACATTGCAATATGTTGTGATGGTACAGTATACAGCCTTGTAATCAAGGCTGACAAATACAGTGCCTATAAAAAGTATTTACCCCCTTGGATGTTTTACCCTTTTGTTGATTTTATAAATCAATCATGGTCACTATAATTTAGCTTTTGTGACAAAAAAAAATACAAAAAAATCCTCTTTAATGTCAAAGTGAAAACAGGTTTCTACAAAGTAATGTCAATTAAATAAAAATATGTAATGGGAAATAAGTAAATGCATAAATATTCACCCCCTTCAAGTCAGTATTTACTAGATGCACCTTTGGCTGCAGTCACAGCGCTGAGTCTGTGTGGATAAGTCTCAGTCAGGCTTGCACATCTGGACACTGCAATTTTACTCTGCCAGGTTGCGTGGGGATCGGGCATGAACAACCCTTTTCAAGTCCAGCCACAAATTCTATATTGGATTGAGGTCTGGGCTTTGACTCAGCCACTGTACATAGATATAATTGTCCAGTTGTACACTTTAGTTGTATGAGCTGGAAATGAGCAGGTTTCTTACTTGCTGTGAGCTTAGCTTTTTGTTGCTACCTCTGCATGCTCACGTCCTCACATATTGCCTTGACTCTGTCAACAGTTCTCCCCTGCTGCTTCCTGTGTTGGTGGTCTGATGTTATGTCCACTCGTTCAGCCTGGTGGTCTTTGGCTTACCACTTCCCTTGCCACTGTAATCCGTCCTGTGCCAGAAAATGATATGTTTTTATGTCAAGCCAAAGTCCTGTTACATTTCTATATATCAGCTTTCATTTCTCAGTGCTTGTGGTTTCTGTAATCTATCAGATGAGTTGTGCATGTATCAGGTATTTTGAGTCTCTTCTTTTAAAGGCTTCTAGTTTGTTCTTCCATACACAGAGGGGGGCTATGAGTGCACAAAGGATCGGTGTGGGGAGACTCGAAATGAACAGCGTGCTTGCCACTGCTCTGCTGACTGTCTGGTCAGAGGAGACTGCTGTACCAACTACAAGACACTGTGTAAAGGTTTGCCATTTTGTTATATCCTTAAGAAATATTTGAAAACATACAAATGTAGATCAGAGATTTTCATATTGTGTTTTGCACCCTGGCCCTCTGGACAAGCTGGTGAACATCACAACTAAGAGTCTGCACCCATGCTAGTAGGTCTGTGATACTATAATGGTAATTGTAAAGAAAACCAAAGTCAGGAGGATTTATCCTCTTGGAATCAAGAGTGTCTGTAATGAAATTTTATGGCAATCCATCCAATAGTTTATTAAAGATCAAAGCGGTGTATCGATCGGCTAAAATTATCATTGGCCAGAAAACAAGACTAAGACTACATATCATGTCTTGTTCCTCACTTCTACTCCTCAATCCTTGTTCAACCTGGAAGTTGTTCTGGTTAAGCGAGGATCAAGGACACCCCAAGACTCTTAGTCCTCCTGTGAGGAGTGAGGAGGCTGCTGAAAGAGACATGACGACTGAGGATACACTAGACCAAATTTGGTGGAAGTCATTAATGGACTGGCGTTTGCTTGATTCCTCTCTCCTCACATTTTTTTTTCTTTTATGTTTTCCTTGCTACTTAGTCTCGCCAACCTAACATGGAAAGAAAAGACACAAGTGAGGGAAACACTGGTGCATCTTGTTATGTACCTTAGGAGTCTACAGCCACTCCAGCAGCTCTGTGAGACTTACGTAGGCACAGCAGCACTCTGAGCTACAGTACTCATCAGCATGATAACATGCTCACACTGACAGTGCTATCATATCGATGTTAACCAGGTGTAGTTAGTGTGCTAACATCTGCTAATCAACAGGGAAGTACAGCACAAAGCACAGCTGAGCATAAGGGGAGTGTCATTAATTTTCTAGGTATTTAGTCATAAACCAAAGCACCAAACTGACCCGATGATAGCACAAGATAAAAAGTCGTTATTCGTGTGTCCCTCAGGATGAACTACAATATATCAACCAATTTTCTTGACAAGCCATGAACAATGTAGAGACATTTTGCTGAAAACCACAACTGAACATGAGTGGTGGTGGGAATATCAAAGGATCAAAATGGTCAGTAGGATTTATCCTCTGGAAATGATAAATGTCTGACCAAACTGTAATGACAATGCTGTAGTGGTGGACGGATTGATTGACAAACCACCACTGGCATCCCATGCTCCTGGCACAGCTAAAATTTTACCATGTCTCTCTGACTGCATTCTTTCAGGAGACACTTCATGGCTGCAGGATGAGTGTGAGGAGATGAATACCTCTGAATGTCCAGCTGGGTATGTTTACACCTGAGCAGTAAAGCAGAATCAAGTGATCATGATAAGTCCATATCTTCCTTCATGTTTATTTCTGTTCTCTCTATCAAGTTTGAACTTGATAACAGATTGATAACAAATTTTGTCCTTTTTTTCCCCAGTCAAAACTGTAGCTTGTGTCCTCTCTTAATCTTTTTCTGCATGCCAAATCTCAGACTGAGGAACTAGAATGACCAGCAGCATTATTTTCCTTTCATTTTGTGTGTGTGCAGGTTTGTGCGTCCACCACTCATCGTGCTATTACTGGATGGGTTTAGAGCATCTTACACGAAGAGGGGAAATACTGTCATACCCAACATAGAGAAGCTCAGTAAGGAATCAGGGGGGGCTAATGGCAATGAAATGGGTGGGAAGTGACATCATTATTATATGGAACAATGTGCTAATTTAGATGTTTTTATGCCTTCACACCAGCGATAGCTGTGGATGGAGGCATTATGTATTTGATTTGTCCGTCTGTCCGTCCAGCCCGGTCTCATGAACAAGATATCAGGAATGCTTTGAGGGAATTGTTTCAAATTTGGCCCAGGTGTCCACTTGGACTCAGGGATGAACTGATTAGATTTTGGTGGTCAAAGGTCATGGTGGTGACCTGACATCTGTCCCATTTCTATGAATTTGGTTGGTTGGCGGAGGCATACAATCGTGAAGTGGTGATTCTAGTTTCTGTTCTGTTCTACTTTTCAGGAAAGTGTGGAACCCATGCACCATACATGAGACCTGTTTATCCCACCAATACTTTTCCCAACCTCTACTCCCTGGCTACGGTATGGCACAGGGACATTAATGTTGTCATGCTTACAGGTTTTAACCTCAGCTGTACTTCTCTGGCTTAGTGTTAACATGCTATCCTAACAGTTGAGTTAAGATCAAAATAGAAATTGTACAAATCAAATCAAATTACTGACCAATATTATTGGCCTAAGCCAGGGGTTAGCATTCCACAGTTTCTAAGCCGCACGCGACTCTTTATCCCCTCTCTAGTGCCTCCCTGGCTCAATGGCTACTGCTAAGTAGAGCTAGCCAGCCGGCACATTGGCAGGTCATCACATCTTTAAAAATGCCTGAGCAAATTTCTAAACTGGCATTACTTGGATCAGCTGATCACATATTTGAAAACTTGATGGTTATTTTCTTGACTGAAGAAATATCAAAACTTAATAAAGTGGCATAGGTACAGTCCTAGAAGGAAAATTATAACAGCTTTGACCCTGCCCTGCCACCACCGTCGCATGATGTCCATTGCTTCCACTTACTTCAAAGTTATGTTGGCCATCCAAGTACTATTCAAATACATATTTTGCTTTTTCATGGCATTTTGACTATTCATTTCATTTGCACAAACACAGGGAGAATAGGCCCGCCTAACTACTGTATGTTTAAATACTAAATTTTTAGGTAAGCCCACACATGGCAGCAGATTTGTTCTCCACTACACAATCAGTTTTGTGTATCTTTGGAAATAGCATCCTCCAATAAAAATAAGAAAAGTGTCAACTGTTGTCTTTCTTGTACTAGTTCTATAATATTATAAATGCACCAAACCATTGTGTTATTGTAGTCAAGATTGAAATTTAAAGTATTATATCGTGTAATCATAACTAGCCTATTGTAGTCACCTTCAGGTAAAACATGTATGTAAGCTCATTTAGACCTATTTGTATTGTTGTTTGGTTATTTTGCCAATAGGCTGTGGTACCTGCATGTAAAAGGCTCAAATAGTTTGTGCAGCTCCATGCATATTCTTTTTTCTTTCTGGCCAAAAAAGGCTCTTCAGGTAGTAAAGGCTGCTGACGCCTGCTTAGGCCCTAAGCAATAATATTATTTTCAATCTTTATCAGGGCCTTTATCCAGAGTCTCACGGTATAGTTGACAACTCCATGTATGACCCAGTGTTTGATACCACCTTCACCGTGAGAAGCCAAGAGAAACTCAATCATCGCTGGTGGGGAGGACAGCCAGTAAGTACTGTCTCCTCTTCTCTTCTTCTTTCTTTTTACCATCAATATTGCATTGCGTAATGTATTTCTAAGTGAGCTGACAAGGATTTTAAGAAGACTCAGAATAAACCAAATCTGATTTATTGATCAACAGCAGATAAACATATGTGATTAACAATAGCTGGGCTGGGATCACTTTTAGTTTTGACAAGACCAAAGCACTTTTTGTGGATTTGCTTAAGCAACAAACCTGTGCTATGATTTCATTTTTGGTTGCCAAACGGAGCAAACAGAATGACTCGGGATGCTTTCATAACTTTCATTACAAGGGTTTACCAGTATCTTTCTGAAGACTGGATGAACACTGCCAACATCACTTGGTGTAGCAGCAGTCGGTCTCCTCCCACGCACCTATATGCAGTGGGATCTCTGTCCTCCTTAGCATAATGTAGCATGCTGTATGCCATGACCTTGATTTCTCCAGGCTTATATTATTGTTTGTTTCTAGGGTAACGCTGCAAGGCTGATAAAATAATGACACTGTACTGTTTGACTCCTAGATCTGGATCACAGCACTCAAACAGGGAGTGAAGGCTGCCACATTCTTCTGGCCTGTGTAAGACTACACACACACTTGATATACTGTACATATAATAATATCAATCTAAATGTTTGTATTTATTTGTTTTCTCTGTCTTTACAACTGTCAAATTATTTAAGTAATAACAAAAATTGTGTTTTTCTTTGGTAACATTGTTTATTGAAACTTTGATGCCAGTAAAGCCCCCCTTTGAATTGAAGGGGCTCAACACAAGACCAGCTAGGTTCTCTTCATCAGTCAGGTTTAAACCTCTGGCAAGTTACATTTTGTATGAAAACAGAATTTTGCAATGCAATAATAATAAGTAATACGAAGACTTGGACAGTCACATGACAGTGTCAGACCACTTGGTTACCATTTAGTTAAGACAAATTATTTTCCATTGTTCCCATACAAAATAATTAGTGCCTAATGTTTACATATTCTGCAGCTCATGATGTTAAGATGCATTTATTTTTCACATAAAATTTTATGTGGCAATAGCCTGAAGATAATCACAAAGGTCTATAAGCAGTGTCTTGCACCAGAACACAAGTCACTCAAACACCCTGCCAGTAAAACGACTGCAAGTGTTTTAGCAACAAGCAGTCATCACAATAGAAGGAAAAGCTAGAATCCATCCATCCATCCATTTTCCTCCGCTTATCCGGAACCGGGTTGCGGGGGCAGCAGTCTAAGCAAAGATGCCCAGACTTCCCTCTCTCCAGACACTTCCTCCAGCTCCTCCGGAGGAAATGCTGAGGCGTTCCCAGGCCAGCCGAGAGACATAGTCCCTCCAGCGTGTCCTGGGTCTTCCCCGGGGCCTCCTC